TTTTTTGTTACAATGTCATGTCATATGCTTTTATTCTTTTCATAATTGAACCTTGACTTCATCTACTATGTTTGATAAGCGGCTAAAAAAATTGATTCTGATTAACAATGATCAACAATGATCGGAATGGAAAGTGATTTTTGCAATAGACAATTGAACCATGTCTAAAAATTATGTTTAGACTTAGAGCTATTAATCCTAGTTAAGTAGACTTAATTCTGGAAAGCAATGATCAATTTTTCTCGAGAGCAACTAAACATGTTAAAATCAATTCTACACGTTCTGAATCAATTTTGTATGCTTCAAACGTGAAAGCATACAATTACAACTACAATCACTTCTGAGATAGTTTGAAAAATTATGATACATGTATAAGCTATTTTCAATTTATTTTCTTAAGTTCTTCGATGATAGTTTTTTTTTTTAAAATTTTATGAAAGCATGTTATAACATAGTTTATGAAAATATGTTATGAGTTTGATGTTACTTTATCTTTTATTGTAGAAATAATTTACAAATAAGCGTTTAGCTATAATTGTTTAATTAAGTTATTTTGGTTCAAATAGGGTTTTAATAAGTTTCTTTTTACATTCTATGTATAGGTAAATCTGAGGCTATATTCAGATTAATTGAAGGAAAAGAATAAAATGGGGTGGAATGGAATTAGGTTTTATTGTTAAAAATTGGGTGGATAAAGTGGATCGGAACATGAAATATTTCACTATGGAATCAGTTTTATCAAATAACGGCGCCATGACCGCTATGGCGGATATATATAGCGGTTTTTGGTGATAGTTTTTATTGTTAAAAATTGGGTGGATAAAGTGGATCGGAACATGAAATATTTCACTATGGAATCAGTTTTATCAAATAACGGCGCCATGACCGCTATGGCGGATATATATAGCGGTTTTTGGACTTGCCGCAATGGTAAATATCAGCCGATATTGCGGGATTTTCCGCTATAACGGCGCCGCAAAGCGGCTGGTATGGCGGGATTTTGGCTCTTCTCCATCGACAACACTGTATGGAATTGATTCATATTCAATCATAGAAAATATCAAAACAATGAAATGGAAATTTTATTTCATTCTATTTTTGAATGTCTTCCTGTTTTTGATGCTTTGGTTGAGCCAAAAGACTATTCAAATTATAAACATCTAGGAAGAAAGTAGCTGGTTCTTGTTGTTTGTGGTTGGTGTTCCTTTAATAAATGAAATGCTTAAATATGGTAGGTTTTGCCAAAAACAGTGTATATATGTTTAAATTTGAGCCTAACTATATAATTAGTCACTTATGGTATGTCATGGTTTAGCTTTTGGCTTGCATTAACTTTTGTAATGAAGCTTGTTAATCTAATAGTTGGTTCTTAACTATAGTCAATCCGTGTTATGAGTGTGTGCTCTTGTTACATTGCTCTTGTTTCGAGTTAACTGTGAACCCTTGCTTTCGTGTTATCTGAGTATATAGAAATGAATTGTGGTGTCAATCGTTAAATGAATTGCGGTCTCAATATGTTTTCATATTTTCAGGGTGAAAAGAAGGTGGCCACCATTCAAAATGTTTTTGCTGTCATAGAAGGATCAGAAGAACCTGATCGCCATGTTCTGCTTGGAAACCATAGAGATGCATGGACTTATGGTGCTGTTGATCCCAACAGTGGGACAGCTGCCCTACTTGACCTTGCTCGACGATACTCTATTCTACTGAGTTCAGGTTGGAAACCAAGGAGGACAATCGTTCTATGCAGTTGGGATGCCGAGGAATTTGGCATGGTAGGCAATATTTCCTTCTTAACAACTCATGTCTCTAAGTGTGTTTTCTTCAATATGGTAGTTGCATGTGTAACTTACATAGTCTTTAAGAATCAAATCAATGGATTTGTTTTTTCCACATAACTTGTGCGTTTCCCTACCATATTTAACACCAAAATTTGAGCTTCCCTTACTAGTGGCACCTAGGTTTAATGCGAGTGGTGGAAGGGAAAGTGACATGTAGCCTGGTGCATTAGAGAGGATTTTTCCGGTGAATTTATTGAACAGCAAACAACTTTTGCAACTTGCTCAAATCTTTTGTTTAGGCTGTAACGTTAAACAACAAACATTTAATTTAATATGGAGACACTACCACTCATGACGCCGACTTAGAATACGACAAACATTTAATGTCACGGGGATGCAACTCGCAACAACACTAACTTGGAAATATTAGAATACGACAAACATTTTATGTGGCAGCACTATAATTCACTTCTCAATTTTAATATACCATGACTGCAATGATTTTTACCCGCTATATGCTTATAACTCTTCAGTTTCCTTAAGTGCATTGCATCGTCATTTTCCTTATTCAATTGCCAAATATACCCATTATTAAATTAAGCGAGTTTGCGTTATTCCCATTATGGTGTGATTTCCGGTAACACTGTCTTTGAATCAAGCTTATCTGTTTATCTAGATAGGATCCACTGAATGGGTTGAACAAAACCTTATCAATCTTCGTTCCAAAGCTGTAGCATACCTTAATGTGGATTGTGCTGTTCAAGGCCCTGGTTTCTTTGTTGGCTCAACTCCTCAGCTTGACAGTCTTATCCGCGAGGTCACAAAAAAGGTATTTTAAGTAACAATCATTTACTAATGCATATCCAAACGTGCATAAGAATAATTCTTTACGCTCAAACAAATATACACTTTGCTTGCTTTTGGTATTTTAGTAATTCTAAATTTTAATCTGCATTTACTTTAATTTCAGGTCAAGGATCCCGACTCTAAGGGTGTATCAGTATACGAGACATGGTCTGCTTCCGATGAAGGCAACAATGTAATGCTTTTGTTACTGTTTTTCAAGTACTTGTTTGCACTTACTGATTATGCATTTATCGTCGATTCGGTAGTGTTGTTTTAATAGCGTGTGTACATATATGATACTTGACATGTATATGACAAAGACACTTCAATGCTATTAAAAAAGCGGGTTCAATTTTGTTATCATATTCTCATTACTTAGTTGCTTTTTGTTTTGTTGGATTGCAGATTCAAAGGCTTGGTAGAGTTGATTCTGATTTTGCTCCGTTTGTGCAACATGCAGGGGTTCCATCTGTTGATGTGTATTACGGAAAAGGTACATACCTCAGTCAATATGAACTAAAGGATTCTATTTGAATTATGGAAAGTTATGCCACAGTACATGTAGAATGATTGGAAAGAAACAAAGCCCTAGTCCAGGACATACAAGAAACTCTAGTATATGGTGAGGTTGATATGATTATACAATAACATCTTTCCCTTTTACCCCCAGATTTTCCGGTCTATCACACTGCTTTCGACTCCTATAACTGGATGGCAGAATATGGAGATCCATTCTTCCAGCGCCATGTTGCTGGTCAGATTTCTAGCATAAAATGGTTTTCGTTTGATAAAATGGTAGTCCATTAAGCAATCGTAAGATTTATCTTTTGTGTTCTTTGTTGTATTAGTTACTGGAATTTGGGGCCTTCTAGCTCTACGCCTGGCCGATGATTCTGTTCTTCCGTTCGATTATTTATCATATGCAAATGAGTTACAGGTGGGCATTTATTTGAAAGTTAATTGCAGTTTACAATTTTAATTTGGTTTCTACCAGAAAATGAAGAGACAGAGTAAGAACTGAGAAGCGAATCAAAGAGTGTTTTTTGCAACAACAGAATATATTCTTATATTACTTATATAATCTTCCCTTGCTTTTGGCAGTTGTACAGGGACAAATTGAGCAATGTGTTAGATCAGAAAATTTCTCTGCTCCCGTTGACAACATCAATCAAAGAATTTGCTTCGGTTGCAAAAGAAGTCGACGGCGAATTAAAGGTAAAGTAAAGCAAGCAAAACAAAAATAACCTCAGCATTGGAAAGGAATATCTATCTTCCAAGATAATTATACTTGTCTTTATTTTGAACTGCAGGAACTTAGATTGGTAGAAACTTCAGGTCAGTTTGTATATATGAAAAGGCGAGCAATGAATGATAGGCTAATGCTCGCAGAAAAAGGCTTCCTAGATGGAGATGGACTTAAAGGAAAACAGTGGTTCAAGCATCTTGTAAGTGTGTTTATTTACCATGTACTATCATGGATACACTACTTAAACCTCTTTTAACTGATTTAAGTTACTATTTTCAAAGTTCGAAACAGTCCGCAAAATGTGAACTGTATATTGTACAAGAGTGTAGCTCATTTTTTGTGCAACTTCCAAACTTGATATACGAGATTCTTAATATGCTACTTTTCGGTTGGGAACACCACTCTGGCCGCAATTACTGAACTGTCACTTTGTTTCACATTGTTAAGTTTGTATTCTTTTGTCATATGCTAGTTAGCTACTTATCACTTTGCTTAATGCTCCTGTATTACAGGTGTTTGGGCCTCCGAATGACGCTGAGAAGTTAGATTTTTTCCCTGGGATTGCAGATTCTACAACTAGGTCAAACGGCATAAGTGGCATAAGTGAAAAAGAAAGATTAACAGAAATTCAACATGAGATCTGGAGGGTTACCAGAGCCATACAAAGAGCTACTTCTGCACTGAGAGGAGAATTCACATAAACACTAATATGAAAACTGATCTATAGAATAGATGAAAGAGTCTATATTTGAGTTTTACATGTACATATTAAGTGTTTATTCTTCCCCACAACAATAGTATAGTGGTCAGCATTTTAATCTGAATAACTGTGCATTAAATTAACAAAAGGGAAATCATTATTTCCACAGTTTTTGTCTCTTGAATTGTGTAATTGTTAATTCCAATATGCTTATGATAAATATAATCTTACAATTGTCACTATTTTTTAATAAAAAAACAAATGATTTTGTACTGTTGAATAGAACTGCAAATATGAAATAGCAACCACCGACAATTCTTAACATCAAAAGCTTAGAATTATGAAGCTTAAAAAACCAGGTTCACAGTAATACCAGTGCCATACTAGAAACATCACAGATAGTGTTAATAAACCAACAATAATACTACTAATAATAATAAGGTAATTGTGGATGATAACCATGTTGTTGATGGCCATACATGGGATCACAATGATTATACTGATTCTGATAATAGGGCATTGGTGTAGCATGAGGAAGAGGGTAGAATCCTGTTTGATATGGTATATAACCTGCAGAATACATAGGCATAGGCATAGGCATATGCATAGGTGGATACGGTTTAACACACTCCATCCAACAAAGCTTCACCGTATTTTCATGCTTGTTTATCATCTTCATAATTTTTGGTGAATCCATAGTGCCAGAAATATATATCACCCCTTTCTTTGCATTGAAGTTGTAGCTTAGATCTATCATCAACACAAAAAGAACAATTTAATGGTAAATAAAATAGACAAAGGATACACATACCTTATAATAACACATACCTTTGATTTTCTCCAGTATTTTGCTTATAATCTCAGACCATTGTTTCGAGTTTGTGTCCACTTTCAAAGCGCAAGTCTACCATGAAAAAAAGAGAATAGTTAATTATATATGAAATTCTCTTTAACCAAAGAATAAGAAAGAATGTGAATGTAGTAGAGTACTATAGACTCTAACCGTAGTAGAAAACATTGTGACGTTGTAATTTTCAAGGAAAACAATGAGTTGAAAGATGTAAATGAGAAGAATAGAAATGGACATAGAATGAGGTTTATAAGGTTTTTGTTTTCACCATTGAATTAATTAAAATAGAATCATAGCATATCAAGAAAATTATTATAGATCCTATTGCCACTTATAGAATATTTTAATTTGCGAATCATTTGTTCATTAAAATAGTTTTTAATTTGTCTTTGGCTTCAAAGTTCAATCTGTTTGTTCTTCAGCAATAATTGACAATTATGCCTCTATGAATATTGTTTTGGCAACTAAAATAGTTAAAGGCTAGTGTTTAATTTTAATAATTGAGCATTACTGCCTTATCTCTAAAACGTAACATCTCACATTTTGTGTTCTTCTTGCGTCTAAGGTTTTGCAAAATAACTGGTTCACAAAAGCCATTTAAAAAAATATGGTGCACTTATTTTAAATATTCATATTATTTTGAATAAAACTGATCCAGATCTATTTTACTAAAATCCATTTCATTAAAATCACAAAAACCCAATACCCACTTTTTAAAACAAATATATAAATGGATAACCAATGTTTCATTGTCATAAATTAAAGATATACCATAGATATCAAGACAACACTTAACTATACATTAGTGCATTGCCACTAATTTTGCTTATGGTCTTCATTAATCCTCTCTCAAATTAAAATATCATTTTATTAATCATGGCTCTCAATTTCTGACGTGCAAATTTTTTAAAAATGACCAAAATAATAAGCATTTGATAAAGTAAAACAAATTTGTAATTCATATTTCAATTCGACAATTGAAATCTAACACAATATTTTAACAATTTTTTCATAGTTGTTAGTTATTAATTCAATTTAACATTCTGTTGATCGTTGTAATTTTATTACTACCTAATTCTATGCTTTTAAAAAAATTGTCTAGAAAAAATATTTAGATTTTCAAGTCACACTGCATTTTTGTTTTGTTATGATTTGTTATTATGTTTTTCCCTTTCTTATTATTTCTATATTTTTTTAAAATAAAATTATTGTTGATTGGATTTCATAAATATTATAATTGAGATTTAAGATCTACCACTGCCGAGAGATTATTGATTTTAAAAATGGATTTAAAACGATTGGATGACGTTAGAAAAAAGTTGTTTGAATTGAAACTGAGTTTTAATCCAAACAAGTTTGAGAAAATTTGGTTTAAAAAATAGTCCAACCAAAAATCGATTTTTGATATAAATTAGTTTTGAACCAAACCAATCCAAATATGAATCAGTTTTTAAAAAATAAAATGATTTCATTAAAGTGGTTTTAAAAATCAAACTAAATCATATATTTAATTCAATTTAGTTTAGTTTATGACCATGAACACCCTACTTTACTATCTACTGCATCTCGAAAAAGAAATAGACTTATTGTCTTTAAGAGCTCGTATATTTAAATAAATAATTTATTTGTAATTTATTGTATACCAAAATGAATATTTATAAATAAGTTTGAATAAATTTTTTTTATAATTTTTTTTTACAAAAGCAGTAACGAAAAATATATACATAACCTTATGATCGCCCTTACCATATATATATATATATATATATATATATATATATATATATATATATATATATATATATATATATATATATATATATATATATATATATATATATATATATATATATATATATATATATATATATATATATATATATATATATATATATATATATATATATATATATATATATATATATATATATATATATATATATATATATATATATATATATATATATATATATATATATATATATATATATTATCTGAGCAGAAAATAGTTAGTAGTCTGTCACGCGTCGTGAGTTGCTACCTTTATCGGTGTTGTAGAGAAGAAATAAGGTGTACCTGCAAGATGCTCCGATGCTTAAGCGAGTAATAGAACTAGAGAGAGAGAGCAAGCAGAGAGAAAATGTATAGTGTCTAGAATACCTGACCCTCTAGTGAAAGAGGGTATTTATAAGGTGCCCTCAGCGCAGGGCCAACGATTACATTGCATTGGACCAGATTGTCAAGCCTAACACAAGTAACTATCAGGGCTTACGTGGCGTAGTGAAGACCAACACGTGGTCTTCGCCCTAGATCAACTGTCCTGTCATCTTCGGAAGGTGGGTGACCATCTCTTTCGGAAGTGGTTAGTTGCCTGATGACGTGCCCCCGCGTGGGGGACACGTGGAAAGGGTGGGGGAGGCGCGTGTGCTCTCCTCGCGCCAAGTACTGGTCTGCCAGACTGAGGGGCCTTGTTGAGAGGCGTGCGCGACATGAGAGGATTGAGACTTGTTGGGCCTCATCAACATAGTATTGGGTTGTGCCTACCCGTCTGAGTGGCAGGTCCTGGCCCAATCCATAATAGGAGCCCCCCAAGTCGTTGCTCCTAGGTGGAGGAGTAATGACTTAAGGGCAGGTCAGAATGTCGAGGACCTCTTCGAGAGAAGGTATTTGCCCGACACATAGAATTGGGATTCATGTACCAGGTCAGGAGTGGAAGATGTTCGATGGGACAAAATGTCAAGGAGGTGGACAGCGCAAAAGATGTCCCTGCTCTCCGAGCCCGAAAGGGAGACGAATGGATGTGAAGCTTCTGGTGCTGCCATGTGTCAGGCAATCATTGCTTAGCTAGGGCGGCTAAGGGTAGGAGTGTTTGAGTTCCTAGGGACGCCTCGAGTCCCGTGCTAGGCTTATAAATAGGATATAGTCTACTTCATTTCTCACTTTTCGCTTCTACCGTTCAAGACGCTTCCTCTTCTTCTCGTTGCACTTCTTAAATTTCAGCTCTGAGACGTCCGCCGTCCGCCGCCGTATCGTCCTTCCAGAACCGTCGTACCAAGTAAGTCTCTGCTGCCCTACCCTCGTTCTTCCTATTTTCCAACGGTTTCTCCTGTGGACTCGATGAATACCCCGAGAACACCGTGAAGTTTCCGGCGAATACGCCAGAACTTCTTTGAATTAGCGTAGGGTTAGGATGAAGCTCTCGGGGACAAGCGATGAAGCCCCCGGGGACGTAGGATAGTTTTGGATGAATCTCCCAGGGACGTAGGATTATTTTATATGAACTTCCCGGGGACAAGCAATGAAGTCCACAGGGACGTAGGATAATTTTGGATGAACCTCCCAGGGACAAGCGCTGGATGTCTCGGGGGTCCGCTTTTGTCTGTCGAGGCGGGATATGCCCTGTCCCTAGGGGTTTCCCCTCTTCGCCCTTTCACTTGATCTGCGGTGGAAAAGTGGATTTGATCTGGAATGCCAAATTCACCGATTTCCTCTGTTTTTCATGTGTAAATGACTGCTTGGGTGCATGGGGTTATTAAAACTGATGATGAGCCTGATTCTCCGATTGCGCAGGTCGATAAAGAGCGAAGAAGGTCTGCCGCGGATTGGGCTGAGGAGGAGCCCCTGAGTGTCTCTTCTCGCTTTACCGTGGATGAGTCTGACACCTATGCTAATGTCGATGACCTTTGTGAGGGTTCCTTTGTGAACTGGCAGGTGTATAAACTACGAGCAAACCATCAAATATTATCGACGTATAAGGGGATGAGGTTCCCCATTGTTGCACCCTAAAATTTGCTCAACCTTCTTCACTTGGTTTATGTTTCAATTGCATTAGCATTTGCATATAGAGTCATGTACATAGTCTAATCATCTGCATAACATAGCATAACAAGTTATCCAACAAGGGACCAAGTACTATTCTCATCTCTTTGAGCCTATCAAGAAGTTATTATTCAAATTCAAGCATATCCAAGTCATCAGAAAGAAATTGAAGTCTAAGAAGCCAGTGGATCAAGCAGTGGATCTATCTCCTATCTGAGGGTATCTGAAGATCATCAAAGAAGTTGTGAGCTGTGAATTGAGCATGGAGAGTATGTAGACATCATGGAAGACTTATAAAGTCATTTGGAGAAGGAGGCAAGTCATTGATATGATCACAAGAGTTGCAGTTGAAGACAGTCAACTAGGGTTTCATCTGGGTCAACCCTGGGTCAACCCTAGGTCAAATGATTGATTGAAAGGCATTGAGGTCTATTTGAGAGATGTGGGGTTCATCATTTGACATGTAGAGAAGGATGTGGTATTGTGTCAAGAAGAAATCAAGAGAAATCAAGGAGAAGAGGAGTTTCTAAATTAGGGTTGTTGTGTAAAATCCCCTGATTTAGGTCAAACTTCCAAGCAAGATAAGTCAAAATGAAAGCTTCAAATGGATCCTTGGTCAACATTAAACTTGTATAGGATCTCAATACCTTTAATTTGAGTGGTGGAAGACATCAAGGAGATTTATAGAACTCAAGTTATGGTCCTTGCAAGTTACAGGTCATCTGAGGTATCTGAAATTTTGTCTGTGAAAGTTACTTGTCTTCCAAGCAACTTTTACCCCTCAAGGAGATTTCAAATGAATTTCTGGTCAACATAATAGTTGTTCCTCATTGTCTTAGATTTCTAGAATGGTATGGTATTCCTTCATATGATTTGTGGAACTCTACTTATGGTCTTGGCAAGCAAAGGGTATTTTGGTCATCTGAGAATTACAGGTCATTTCAAGCCTATGCCCAAAACTCATACACATACAAGGAAGCTTCAAATGAAAAACTTCACAACATAAAACTTTCTCCAAATGACATTTTGAGTCTAGAAAAGTGATCATTAAAGTTTGGAAATGCTCATAGCTCAAGGTTTCAAATTTGGTGAATTTAATGAATAAAAAGTGACCTAAAATTGAGATTTTTCATAATTTGGCCAAATGGGATGAAATTATAGGTCATTTTGATTGGAAAAAATGTTTTAAGAACATTGGCAAAAGTGGATTTTTGAGTTTGGTTCAAGATTTGGAAGTTATGCTTGGTTACTTATGTATGAAGTAACATAATCCAAAATTCAAGGAAAGTGTGCATGGGAAGTTTCTACAAAGTTCTAGAAAGGTCCATGATCATCTATATATTGGATTG